CTCAGAGCCCCTGACCCTGCAGCAGGCCACCACCACCCCTCGCTTCCAGCAGAGACTCCTGGACACTCACGGGCAAGTATGGGTCAGTCTCTTGTGGGGTCACTGCCCCTTTCTCCTGGGTCCTGGTGCACACAAGGTTTTGTTTGTGCCCTCCAAGAGTCTGTTTCCCCAGTCCTGTGTAAGTTCTGATGGCTCAGTGGTGGGTTAATGGTGACCTCCTCCAAGAGGGCTTCTGCCACACCCAGGTCTGCTGCACCCAGAGCCCCTGACCCTGCGGCAGGCCACTGCTAGCCCACACCTCCTCAGGAGACACTCAACACTCAAAGGCAGGTCTGGCTCAGTCTCTGTGGGGTCTCCTGGTGTGCACAAGGTTTTGTTTGAGCCCTCTGAGTGTCTCTGGCGGGTATGGGGTTTGATTCTAAATGCGATTTTGTCCCCCTACCATCATGCTGGGGCTTCTCCTTTGTCCTTGGACGTGGTGTATCTTTTTTTGGTGGGATCCAACATTCTCCTGTGGATGGTTGTTCAGCAGCAAGTTGTAATTTTGGAGTTCTTGCACATGACCGCACATCCTTCTACTCTGCCATCTTGTAGATGTTTTAGGGATAAAACAGGATGGTAGTAAACAAGGATGGGGTATGGGTTAATGAGAAAATAATTAACACAATATCACCCATGGTAAGCACTCAATGAGCTCACTTCTTACATGTCTCTAACATAGATCTTCCATCTCAATGTGGCAGGAAGATTTTATTCACTAGATATGAATTATATTTCAGGACTTTCCTGACAGTTCAGTGGTTAAGGCTTTGCCTTTCCCTGAAGAGGGTATGGGTTTGATCCCTGGTCAGAGAACTAGGATCCCAGATGTTTCCCAGCCAAAAAACTGAAACATAAAACAGAAACAGTATCGTAAGAAATTCAATAAAGATTTTTAAAGTGGTTCACATTAAAAAAACAAAAAACAGAGGTGAAGTGGGCAACAGCATTTAAAAAAAAAAAAGGAGAAGAATTGTGTCTCTTTTATGTGCCAGGCCTGGGCTAAGTGCTTTACAGACCCAATTTCACTGACACTTACAACTCTCTGAAGCAGGTATTGTTATGAATCCCATTTCACAGATGAGGAAACTGAGGCTTATGGAAGTAAAGAATGTGCCCAAGGTCCCTCAGCTAAGAGGACAAAAAAGTAGGATGAGTCTGAAGCATCAAATGTTTAGTGACACTGAAGCTGGGGAGACAAAATGCAAAAAGTTTGAGCAGCTAAGGCCTAACACTGCCTGCAGAGTTCAGAGAAGCAGTAATAGCAAAGGTGAGAGATTCAAGCGGGGTGGGAGCTCTCTAGTGAATGTCTTCAACCCTGGCTGGTAGGCATCTGGGGCCACTTCTGACCTCAGAGGTATTTCACCAAGGAAGTCAGAAGAATTTGAACTTGTAAGAACCAAAAATTGACTCCTTCCTATAAGACTGCATTTCAGTAAGAGGCTGCCATTAAGTCGAGGGTTATAGACTCAAGAGCCAGACTGAATGGCTTTGAATCCTGGCTCTATTACTTACAGGCTCTGTAACTTTAGACAAGATGTTTTATCTCTCCGGGGCCACTTCTGACCTCAGAGGTATTTCACAAAGGAAGTCAGAAGAATTTGAACTTGTAAGAACTGGAAATTGGCTCCTTCCTATAAGACTGCATTTCAGTAAGAGGCTGCCATTAAGTCAAGGGTTATAGACTCAAGACTGATTGGGTTTGAATCCTGGCTCTATTACTTACAGGCTGTGTAAATTTGGACAGGAAGTTTTACCTCTCTGAGACTGATCCTTCAACTGGCATATTCAGTAATACAGCTGTCTCATACAGTTGTTGGAAGAATAGTGTTTTATTACATGTGAAGAACTGTAATTAACACACAGTAAGGGCTCAATAAATGTTAGCCATTTGCTGTTTAGTTGCTAAATGGTATCCAACTCTTTTCAACACCAAGGACTGTAGCCTGCATCGCTCCTCAGTCTATGGGATCCCCACATCCCCTTTTACTACAAGGGCAGGTACATTAAAGAGGGAAATACACCAATGCGGGGGAAATGGAAAGCACATGACCTGCCTAAAAACATACATACAGGAACTTCCCTAGTGGTCCACTTGCTACGACTCCACACTTCCAGTGCAGGGGGCACAGGTTCAGTCCCTGCTCTGCGAGATCCCACATGCCCACATGCCGTGGGACAACCAAGCCCGGGCACCACACCACCTTGTTCCTGGAGGCCGTGCTCCCCGACAAAAGAAATCACTGCAATGAGAATCCTGTGCACCACAACTAGAGAGCAGCCCCTGTTCGTCTCAACTAGAGAAAACCCACCTCAACTAGAGAAAGCACGCTTGCAGTAACGAACACCCAGTGCAACCAAAAATAAATAAATGAGCTAAAATAGAAAACATACATACACACATGTGTTACTCAGCCACAACCAATTATCAGGTAAGAAAATGGGCCCACTCTGACCAGATCTTCCCAGTTTTCCACAAAAAGCCACACTGGCCTCCTTTCTAACAAGCAGGTTTTCACCTCAAAGCCTTTGCACTGGCCTGTTCTATCCCACTGATAAACCATTCACTCCCTGTTCTTGTTCAGCTCTGTACTCAGATGTGCAACTTAACGTTTCTATTCCTTTTCCTCACTTTAGTTTTCTCCATTGCACTTATTAAATATCATAGCACTGCCTCATTTTTTAGTTTCTCCCTCTACTAGCAACGTCATGTCCCATGCAGACAAGGGTTTTGTTTTGTTTTGACTACTGTATCTGTAGCACCTAGAACAGAGCCTGACATGTGATAGATAGCTGATAGTTATGGAATGGATCATGTCAGTGTCTTTTAAGAAATATTCTGTGGACTCAATATGCCTTCAGGTTTCCAGGTTGAGTGATGGTTCAAGATATCATTTAATCAAGTTTTGCTTCACTGAGCACCTACTATGTGCAAGGAACAGCTTTAGAAACTGAAATGGATGCCAAGAACAGAAAATATTTGTTATGGTAAAAGGCAGTAAATTGTAGACAGAAAAGGAGTCAAATTTTAAGTCAGGGTGTGTGACCTGATTCTGTCTCACACAGATTTGGAGAGCTCTCTGAGCCTGTTTCCTCCTCTATGCAATTAGACTGAGGATCATGGTAGTTCTGTCAGAAGGCTGTTGTAATGAGTAACAAGCGTGCAGGTCATGGTCTAATGCAGGAGACAGGTGATATATGTACTACATAAACATATAATGTATGTATACTGTACATGCATTGGCACTACTTATTACACAGTGAAAACTGAAATGTAAGGGAATAGAAAGTGGTGGGGATGATCGTTTACTACGGGCCCCATAGAAGGTAGCGTTTGAGTAAGTGGAGGGGACCATTCAAGGACTAGGGCTGGTCATTGCATATTGGAGTGAACGTGAAGAACAGCTCTATGTGGCTGAAAGAAGGAAAAGAGATGAGGTCTTAGGTTACAGTGGGGAAGATGGTCCAGGCCATTGACTCCACCTGTTACCATGTAAGGTGGGGAGGGGACGGGTGGGAAGAGCACTCACAGCATAGAGAATAGATGATGGCTCCAACAGTAAAGAATCCGCCTGCAACGTGGGAGACCTCGATTACCCCTGGGGCAGGAAGCCACCCAGAAGGGAATGACTACCCATTACAGCATCCATCTAGCCAAAGGTACGGTTTTTCCAGTGGTCATGTATGGATGGGAGAGACTATAAAGAAAGCTAAGCACCTTAAGAATTGATGCTTTTGAAATGTGGTGCTGGAGAAGACTCTGAGAGTCCCTTGGACTGCCAAGATCAAACCAGCTAACCCTAAAGGAAATCAACCCTGAATATTCATTGGAAGAACTGGTCCTGAAGTTGAAACTCCAATACTTTGGCCACCTGATGCAAACAACTGACTCATTGGAAAAGACCCTGATGCTGGGAAAGATTGAAGGCAGAAGGGGACCGCATAGGACAAGATGGTTGGATGGCACCACTGACTCGATGGACAAGTTTGAGCAAGCTCCGGGAGTTTGTGATGGACAGGGAAGCCTGGGTTGCTGCAGTCCATGGGGGTCACAACCAACTGAAATGACAGTATTTGTCTGAATAATTTCAGATGCCACTGAGTGACTAACACTTTCCCTTTCCCCTGGTGGTCATGACTAAGATTCTGTGCTTTCAAGAAAATAAAACCTGTTTCTACTGCAGGTGTACACACTCTAAGGGGGAACTAGATCCCATACGCAGTGCACTACAGCTTTAAAAAAAACCAAGACTAAAATCTTTCTTGTTCAGCAACACACCAGGTTGCTGTCCATGGCATTCTTCAGGCAAAAATACTAGAGTAGGTTGCCATCCTTCTCCAGGGGAGCTTCCCAACCTAGGGATCAGGTCTCCTGCACTGCAGATTGTTTTATTCTTTACAGCCTGAGCCACCAGGGAAGCCCTTATTGGCTGGAAGTCAACCTAATTTTTGCTAGCTTGTTTCAAGGTTAGGAGGTTAAGACAGGAAGGAAAACTATCAGTGGATGTCAACAAGTCATTAAATTTTTTTTATAACCGTATCAGATTATCCCTCTTGTCAGTTTTCTATTCACTGGAAGCACTAGGTCCCCAGACTCAAGGGACCTGAGGGAGTTAAGACTGTATCAAGAGCCAGGTCAGAATATACAAGACTAAAAAGTACAGTGGGGACAAAGCCAGGGAATTAAAACCAGATTAGCCCTGCATCTCTAGTCTGTTTGGAACTTTCCATGGTTAAACCATGAAATCTTAAATATAAAAAAAAAATTAGTAAAATGAAAACAAGCTAGCAGGTATAGCTCCAACCACACTTCTCTTCATCATCAGCTTCAAAGCACAGAATCCATGATTCAATGTACACAACCTGTTCAGAAATGCCTGCAGAAATGTAGAGTGTGGGATCCACCTTTTAACTCAGTATCATTTGGTTCAAGGTCTTTCTAATGACTCAAGAAAACAGCCTTTTCATTTAAAGCATTTTATTTTATTTCTCCAGACAGGAAGGCTACAGTTAAACACTTACTAACCAAAATGTAATATTTCATTCTTCAAAAGAGCCACAAGCTTTTCACCTCTGGACACTCAGGTTACACAACAACCCAAACCTTTATGCTCTCAGAAGTAAACGTAAATCTTTCTCAAGAGGCCTTGCATGACTCCACAGCTGAAATTCCTTAAAAAGAAAGATACATCACCATCAGTACTTCATTAGGATACAAACAGCTACTTGTTTGGGATGTTGGAGTATCTAGACTTCGGGAAGTAGGAAGATGTAAAGTGAAGCACCAGACCAAGGAGGGAGACTTTCAACCTGGGGTCTGCCCACGAAAGTCTGTACTGTCCCCGATATGCCAAATGTTGATTCTATTCAACATTCTGCATGAAATAAACACAAAAAGATACTTTAGGGACAAATGGAGGGGTCTGACTATGAAGTAGATAAGCAGGCATACAAAGTGTTATGTTTAAGAAAGGAGGCAGAAAGTATAAACTGTCTCTCCCTAATCTGCTCACTGTGATGATGCAAGGCAGTAGTTGCCACTGGACAAACAGAGAAGTCTTTCCACCATGTTGAAGAGGCCCATGGAGTAATGTATTGAGGTTGTTAAGAATTCAATCTTTCATAATGAATTACAACCCTTTTGGAACTCAACTCAAAAGGTAACCTGGAACCCAAATTGCAACTGGTCCCCAAGTCACTCCCAAGTGGGCAAACCCAACACTTCTCTACCTACAACACATTCAGTCATCATTTTACCAAGGGGTTAACACCTAAGGGGACAAAAATTTACAGAAATCTTACCTGTTACAAAACTGAACCAAACTGAAACCAGGCCGCCATCAACCTACGTAGGCCCTGATGTACACAGGGCTCTGGCCCTGTAGGAAAGTAAGAGGAAGCAAAGATAAATGACTTGAATGATGCCAGGGAGGAAATCATAGGGCAAGCCCAATTCCCACTTAAAAAAAAACACACCCCACACAGAAAGTGATAAGCAGAAAACAAATAGAAGTTATCTTTGAGGCCAACGCATCAGACAAAACTGGCTAATAATTCAGTTGGATCAACAGGGTCGATCTGATGGGGAAAAAAGTTAAGTCATCAGCTGCAATGGCCATACTTGAGTCACAAAAAAGTAGAATGTAGGGGGATAACCCCTTCAAAAGAAAAGCACTTATAGATATGACTTACAAATTCTCTCCCAATCCTGGATCCATCATGGTCCATTCAATGCCTGTTTGCTGCCAACAGTGAGCCTGAGATGAAAACATTGAAACATGACCTCTAAATCAGCTAGATGCAAAAGCACTTGGGGGGACAAAACAGCTGCTCAAGCTGGCATATCAGACAGAAACTGGCTTAGAGAAGTTAGATCAACATGGTCGATCTGTCGGGGAAAAAAGTTCAGTCATCATTAATGCCAGCAGGAAGTTCTTGACTCTACAAGGCAAACACCCCAGCTTTCTGTGCTTAACATCTGATAGAAACTAGCATGGCTGGCAAGAGCTGTGGAAAAATGGGTTGGCTTTTACTAATTGACTGCAGGGTTTTGACTGTCAGGATATCATCACACTTGAAGGTAACATGTCATCACTTCTAACACATCCAGGTCTAAGGAAAACTTTGTCCCAAAGATCCCAGCATTAGCCTCACATTTTTGGACTCAGTTTTAAAAGTTAAACCGTTGGGAATTAGAGTAACAGGTCAAAAGAAACATTTGGCCTTCCTTAAAAAAGCAATGTCATCACAGTATGCATCCACTTGGGAATTTAAGTACAAAAAGGCTGTTTATGATTTAAAAAGGGAAGGAATGGCCATCTGAATATGTGCCGTAAGGAACATTTTTTAAATGTTTAAGTTTAAAAAACACCGATTCACTTATCCTGGTTTGAAATATGTCTAATACCTATGTTTTTTGTGAATTATAATAAAATGAAGTATCCAGAATACCTCAAGAAAATCGAGTAACTGAAATACGCTTATTACCCTTACTCTCCTTTGTTCCCCTGCAAGGCGGCCTAGCAAACCAAGAGGTTCCTCGGAGCACACATTTCCTGCAATAGGCCAAAAAAAAAAAGAAAAATGTGCTTACTCCAGAGGTCAGGAAGCTGAAGGTTTTGCCTGTCGACACGTGGTTCTCTTGGAGCCCCAGCAGGGACCCCTCCACCAAGATTCATTCTGTAGCGTCTGATCACGCAAATCTGCGAACCAACAAAGAAAGGTCGTCAGTCGCCATCTTTCTACAGTCAGAGAAGAACAGGGCAGCGCTTTTTGAGGCAGGTGTTGTCAGAATTAACTGGCAAGTATTCAAAGACATCAACACGGTCGATCTGATGGGGAAAAAAGTGAGTTCATCATTTACACCGGCCGAGGAATCCTAGGTTTTTTCAGCTCTCATTCATCTCCCCAACGACGCTTAGACCTATTCGGTCAGAGGAGAGGGGACCACTAGGTGAGGCGACTGCACAAAGAGGAAAAAGGAGGCGCAGAGATGTAGTAGCGAGCTTTCTACTCACCACATACAGTAGTAAATTCTGATTCCAGGGTTGAGACGACATCGGATGAGGAGCAAGAGAGCAGACGACGAACAACAAAGAGCGCCGCAGACGCGAAAGAAAGACCAGCCCGCGAGCCTCCCTTAAGTAGCCAGCAGGGACTCTCACGCCTGCGCACTGGCTCCGAGGTTCCTTTTCCCCGCCCAGCCCGCGCCGCGCGAGGCCTTCTGGGAAATGTAGTCTCCGCGCCGCCCAGACGGAAGAGGTCTAATGGTCGTCCAGGCAGCTTTAGCCCCGCCCCTGCTCTGTACCTACTAGGCCTCCGGGTCCCGTCGGCCTTGCCGCCATGTCGCGCTTCACAGGCACCGAGCCTTCCGCTGGGTCCCCGCTACTTTGGGGACCGCTGAGGCCTACAACGGCCTTGGGTGCTGTTAACCCGCCCCCCGCAGTCCCCTCCCTTCAGCGGCGCCCACCCGAGCCCTCCTGCCCAGCCGCCTGGGGTAGCTGAGGCGACGCCCGCGCATCCGCCCGCCCCTGACGGGCCGCAGGGCGGGGGGTGCCGGCTGTGCTAGGGCCTGGCCCCCTTGCTCAGCGCCCCGGGCCACCTCCTCCTCCTCCCTCCGTCTTCCTGCCGGCCGGCCCCTTGCCCCGCCCCGTGTCTGAGGGGCCGGGAAACCGAAAGTGCGCGGCTCCGGGCGGGGCCGCGGACCTGCCTGGGCCCGAGTCTAAGCGCCAGTCGGCGGCGGCGGCGGCTGAGAGAGGACGCGCCGGAACCCGGTGAGCGACCCCTGCCCCGCGCCCCTGTTCCACACTTGGTCCCGCCCGCCGCCACTCCAGGCGCCCGGACCACCCTTCCCCTGTCTCTCCCGCTGCCCCGCCACCCCCTCAGCCCCCGCGTCCCCATCACCCGCCTCAGCGCCCCCATCACTCTCTCAACACCTCCATCACCCATCTCCGCACTCCTCACCCCCTCAGCGCCCCCATCATCCACCTGAGTCCCTGTCCCCTCTTCCCCAGCGCCCCTCTTACCCTCCCAGCGTCTCCATCACCACCTCCGCCTACATCCTCATCATCTAGTTCTCCTCTATCCCCCACATCTCCGTCCTCACTTTCTGCCACAGCCCCTCCTTCATCCTCACCTTCCATCACCTCACTCATCCCCCTTCTTCTAGAAGCACCCTCCGCACCTAGACTCCCCGTCCCTATTTCCAGGCGCCCCCCCCACCCCGCTTCAGCAGGCAGCCCCCAGCTGAGCTCAGTTCCGCCCTCTTCTTGAGAACCCCAAACCTCTTCCAGTCTCCCCAACCTCCCCAGCCGCTCCGGGCTTCCGCCTTGCCCGGGCACCTTCTTCATGGCCCCACCCAGCCCCGGCTGTCCCTTGACCCTATAATAGCTCCATCAGGACCTCCTGAGGCCCTGGGTGTCGGACTTCTCCATCCTTTCTTCTCTCTCAGGAGCCTGGAGACTTCCTCTAACATCTTTCATCCCACCCTGGTAAATTACATTCTTCTCTGATTTAACTCCTCCATTGGCTTGAACATCACTGATTTTCTTCTTCCTGTCCTTTGAGGCTTTGATTCCCAAAGAAACCCACTCTAGTTTGCTTTCTTCGTAGCATTTCCTGTTCCTCCCTGCTTCTCCCTTTCCTTGCCTTTCTGCTTTCTTTTCTTCTGTTTCTTTTATCCCAGAAATTTGTGAGTTTCAATTTTAGTATTTTTTTTTCAACAAGAGAAGGAATTGTTCCCTGAAAAGTTTTTATGATTAAACAGAAAAACTCTAAATATTGAACTTGTGCCTTGAGAACTGGGTTTGATAAAATGAAAGATGAGATTCAAAAAATATTCCCAGCGGGAAGGAAGGGGACTCCTTTTTCTCATGAGGATAAAAACTACTCCTCATATAATGCCAGATATGTTCACAGTTTCCAAGTATGAATGTGTTCAAACTCAATGAGAAGGGGCAGTTGGAAAAGGTCCCTTTGCTGTGAACTCTCAATTACCCACTCTTTCCCCAGCCCCAACCCAGATGGTGTGTATGAGTAGGATGGAGAAGTTTCCTTAAAAGGGGCTTCCTCGTCCTCCTGTAGGAGTACCTTTGCAGATCATCAAGATAGAAGAAAGAAGGAAGGAACTGCAGATTTCTATTTATAGGTGGTCCTGAGAAAACAGTATCCAGTAGATGTTAAGCCTCCTGGTTTTTGAAACATGTTATTTCTTTCTCTAGAGGGGAGGGCTTAATCAGTTTGGCTCTGTTCCAAAGAGTAGTGTAGGGATATCTGCTCACTAATTATTTACAAACTATAGAGTACTGCAAGCTATAGAGTATTATATAATAGAAATGTTGGGTGGAGTGGTGAGTACATGATTTTGGGGTTAATAAAAATGTACTTTTTTCTGTCCTGGCAACAATATTTGTTTGCTTTATAGGAGAGGAAAATGAAACCTAGCAACTGATTAAGTAACTTGGCTAAAAGTATAAACCAAACAGGAGTTTTGAATGGGAAATGATGACACTCACTTAACCCCAAGAAAATAGAAGGATACAGGGAAGGGGGAATTTGATCCTTTGGAATTTAATCCTAAATTGTGAATTTCGTGTTTTGTATCATAATTGGTCATTCACAGAGTTGAACACTTGTGCACATGATTAAAATCTGTGTTTGATTCTTAGTTAACAAAGCATTAAGATACAGAGGCAGAAGGATTAGCTTGATACTATTTGGGTGTTTGTTTTTCTTTTTCTGCTAGATGCTGTGTTTCAAAGGCACTGAAAACTGTCAAACCGTGCAGACTTCCAGACAACTGAAATAACGTGACCGTGGAGGAGATCAGGTGACTCAGACATGGAGGACCGAAGACCTTGTCCAGAGGTGGGGCCCAGGAATCCTCATATCAACCACAGAGGTGAGCAAGATTTTCTACCCTTAGACGATCCCAGATTGATGTTGGTTCCACTTATGATTTTTTACTTTACAAGACGGTCCAAAAGCAATATGCATTCAGTAGAAGCTGTGCTTCAGGTTCGAATTTTGAACTTTTCCTGGGCTACCGATATGTGTGTGGTAAGATGCTCTCTTGTGATGCTGGGCAATGGCAGTGAGCTTTAGCTCCTGGTCAGCCTTGCAGTCCCAAGAGCAAGCAATTAATACACTTAAAACCACTTGTATCCAGACAACCATCTTATTCTTTCAGTACATTATTCAGTAAATTACATGAAATATTCAACACTTTGTTATAAAATAGGCATTGTGTTAGATGAGTTTGCCCAACTGTAGGCTATTGTTAATGTGCGGAGCACATTAAAGGTAGGCTTGGCTAAGCTATGATGTTTGATAGATTAGGTGTATTTAGTGACTTTTTAACTTAATGTTTTGAACTTATAGTGGGCTTATCAGAAAATAACCTAACGTAAGTCGAAGAAAATCTGTAATGGGAAGGAAATCAAGTTCCTTATGGATAAGCAGGCCCACCAAAATTGACTGCATCTCTCAAGTAAAGAATAGTTTATTCTTGAGAATTCCCTGGAGGTCCAGTGGTTAGGACTCAGTACTTTGCTGCAGTGGCCTGGGTTCAGTCCCTGGTTGGGGAACTAAGATCCTGCAAGCAGAGTAGCAAAGTAAAAAAAAACAAGAATGATTTATTCCTTAGCTACAGCATGAGTGACTTTGAGACTAGACAGCCCTCCCCTTTCCTTAAAAGAGCTTCTAAATTGGTACAATTCACTTTAGCAACGGTAGAGATGAGGTATCAGAAATGGCAATAACTGGTTTAGAGCAGCATTATCCAGTAGAAACATAATGCAAGTGAAAAACATAATTTTTGATGTTCTGGTAGCATCATTAAAAACAAAAAAGAAACAGGTGACATGAAATTTAAAAACGTAATACTCAATAATAATTTAATAGAATTTGGTATTTGTCTTATTTAAGCCAATGTATCCAAATAATATCATTTTATTATAATTGAATATATTTTATTATTATAGTTCTTTTCTTGGAGTTTTTTCCTTTTAGTTTTATTGAAATATAATTGACAGAGCACTGTGTAAGTTTAAGGTATATAGCATAATGATTTGACTTATAGATATAGATATAGATATCATGAAATGATTATCAGAAAAAGTTTCCATCATCTCATATGGAAACAAAACTAAAGAAATAGAAAAAAAGTTTTTTCCTTGTGATGAAGGAAAAAAATTAGGATTTTTAGGGTAAATCTTAGGATTTACTCTCTTAAAAACTTTAATGTACAATATATAGCAGTGTTAACTACATTTATCGTGTTATATGTTATTTCTCTACTATTTATTAATCTTATGACTGGGAGTTTGTACCTCTTAATCTGCCTCATCTATTTCTCTTCTCCCCCTACTTCCCTCCATGTTGGTAATCACCTATTTATTCTCTGTATTTATAAATCTGTTTCTGTTTTTTGTGTTTGTTCATTTCTTTTCTTTTTTTTTTTTTTTAAGTTCCACTTAAAAATAAAGTCATAGAGTATTTGTCTTTCTCTGCCTCATTTCATTTACCATAATACCCTCTAGGTCCTTCCATGTTGTTAAAAATGGTAAGATTTCATTCTTTTTATAGCTGAGATACAGTCCATTGTGTGTGTGTGTGTGTGTGTGTGTGTATACACCCCACATCTTCTTTATTCACTCACTTAGGCTGCTTCCATATCTTGGCTATTGTAAATAATGCTGTGATGAACATAAGAGTGCACCTGCCTTTTCTAATTAGTGTTCATAGTACTTCAGCAATTTCAGTTTTGTGTTTATTCCCCCGAAGTCTTCAATATTATCATTTTTGGATGTTACCAATATAAAAAATTTTAACGAGGTGTTTAACTTTTTTTCTGCTAAGGCTTCAAAATTCCATGTGTCATTTTACACATCTTGGTTCAGACTAGTCACATTTAAGATGCTTAATAGCTACACATAGCTAGTAGCTGTGTATTCGATGGTACGTGTCTAGAGCCCTAGTCACCAAAGCAAAGTTAGTTCCAGAAGCATCACTCTACTGCAGTGATTTTTCTGTTTGCTCAGAACTGTCTAAAACAAAACTGCATGGAGTCTTGCCTTTTCCTAAGTTTGCAACATATCCTCCGAATTTCAGTTGTGGAACAGATGAGGAAGAACTGTAGAATATTATTTTATGAGCTATGTGAATGTTGAAAGGTTGAGAAATAATACAATCTTCCATTCTTCCAAAACATTGTCTTC